TGTGCAAAAAATGTTCTTGGGATAAACTGGATTTCAAGGTTTGTTCAGACTCATGTCCATCCCTTTAGCAAGAGGATGAATAAAGGTTTCTCTTTTTTTATGTTATCAGACGTAGATGCTCAAGTCCTAGCTCCATTTAATTCATTGGATGATGCAAAAAGTGAGAATGTATTTTGATCATTTTTTCATTAATGAAACAATTCTACAGAATAATAGATAATAAATTATATAATTTCATAGAATTAATAGAATTATTTTATGAAGAGATGAATCTGACTCTAAATGGGAAGAAGTCCTAGGTTGCATTTGAAACATCCAGAATTTCAGTTTCTTTTATATTAAACCATGAATGGCCCACAGACCATGATAATAAGCATTCTTGTCACATTTGATGCAGGATTGCTGTGGCCTAGAACAGAACAGACTCTCCTAACCCATAACTTAAAATTAATCTTCTAAATAGGAGCAAAAGAGTGACAGATTTCCTTGAATCCTTTGTGGAAAAGTTTTAGAGATGGCTAAAAGTGCCAAATATCTCCCCCCAAAGCTGCAAGACACTTGAAATTTAGTTCTCTTTATAAAATATTGGGGGAAACTGGTGGCAGTGGGCGAAAACTTCTTAGTAACTGTGCCTTCATGTTATTGATACTTTAGAGAAGTTTATTTTAGTAGCAGCACTAAATGTTTTCAGAATTAATGATGTACATTTATTTTGGTTCAGTCTATACCTTTATCACTAAAGCAATGTTTCCTCTTACATGGAAAGGTAGTTGCCAACCCACCTTTTTTACAGAATAGCATATATACCACCTGGCACTAGCTAAAATGTAGGCATTGCTTTCCTAGTGGGTATTGAGTAAGTTTTCTTTCAATTTATACCAGTTCAGCATCTGGAGCCCTTGCCTATCACATGATAGAAACAGACCTCTAAGCCAAGGAATGTGGGCAGCTTCTAGAAGCTGCAAAGAGCCAGGAACCGAATTGCCCCTAGAGCCCCCAAAAGAAATGCCGCCCTCCTAACTCCTTAATAATAGCCTAGTTGAGAATGATTTTGGACTTCTGACCTCCATAACCATAAGGGAATGTTTGTATTCTTTGCAGCTGCGGTGGGTGGTACTGTTTGGATGGCGTGAGCAAGCCAGCATGCTGCCCACTGGTGCCTTCATTCAGCTGGGGTTGTAGTCATTGTGGGCAGTTCCTGGTAGTGCCAAACACACTCATGCATCTGACTGGAACTCCTCTCCCATCCATCACCCAGATCCCATGCTGTTTAAGAATAATTTAAACTGTCACCTCCCCTTGGAAGCTATGCTGGCACTGGGCTCCTCCCCTGACTGGTATCTCCATTATGTCTCGTTTTCGGCACTTACCACACTTGCGCTGGAACCATTGATAATGGTGTTCCTATTCCTGTTTGTACCACTTAGCCACGTTCTTGCTCAATGAGTGGCTCTGTTCCGTGTTCTGTGTTCGACTCTGCCTCTGTAGTGCGGACGCAGCCACAGGCAATGCACGTGTGAGTAGGCATGGCTATGTTCCAATGCCGCCTTATTTTATGAACAGTTGACCTTGAGCATCACATAACTTGCGCGTGTCACAAAGTATTTAGATGGTTTTTCAGCCATCTTAATGGAAAAATCATTCTTAGCTCATTCTTAGGGAGTTATCTGCTAGGCCTCTCCGACAATATAGTAAACTTGCAAAGACCAGGGCCTCCTCCTGTATGTGTATACCTGTGCAGATACATCTACCCCACATATATTTATTTTTTTTAAAGATTTATTTATTTTTGTACAAGAACCAGGGTACAGGCCAGATGCGTGGGAGGGTGAGAAGATTCACCAGAGACCGAGCGGGGAGCAGAACAGGCAGACTGACTGAAATACACTGCTGAGGGGAGCAGCTGGTGAGACAGGAGAGGTCTGCTTCACCATGTGGGATTCTCACCAGCTGGCCGGGATTGAACCCACACTGCAGAGGCTGTGGACAGCTTCACAGTGCGGGGCTCAACCGCCTGCGCCACCAGGGAGGCCCCCCCCATGTATATTTAATGCATAGTACCCCAACCTCCCCACACACAAAATGTAGCACCACATAAGTACTCATGGGGAAAAAAATGACTCAGTCTACTTTAACAAATTATTTCCCAGTAAGTAAGCAGAAGGGAAAATAACCATGATAATATCTTAATATAATGAATTTCATTATATAATTTACTAACCTGCTAAAAGATATTAAGCTCATTTATTCAGTAAGCCTTATCCTTGAGGAGGAAGCCTCAATAGTCTTTTCTTCTAGCCACACTTCATCTGGTTTTTATGTTGATGGTCTTTCACTTTGACCACTGACTGTAATATCCAAATTCAGCCAAAACTTATTTATCCATTTGACATATTAATTGGATGCCTACCACTGTGTGCAAGGACAGTTTGGGATGTAGAGAAACAAATGAATAAATCAAAACTTACATTCTGGAGGGAGGAAGTTATATAAAAACTATCAAGAAAAAAACAAAGTAACGTAATGATAAAGAAATTTGTGTTGATTTCCCTTGGATTAGAAAACCCAACTCCAGTCTTTTTTTTTTTTTTAAAGATTTATTTTATTTATTTATACAAGCACTGGGTACAGTCAGAAGCGCAGGAGGGCGAGAGAATTCACCAGAGCTAGAGCGGGGAGCAAAGCAGGCAGAGGGACCGAGGTACACTGCTGAGGGGAGCAGTGGGCGGCAGGAGAGGTCTGCGCGCCATGTGGGACCCTCGCCCGGTGGCCGAGGATCGAACCGGCGCTGCGGAGGCTGCGGGCAGCTTCGCAACCCACGTTCAACCTCTGTGCCACCGGGGAGGCCCCCAACTCCGGTCTTTAATGAGACAAAAACCATGGCCCACAGGAGAGAGCAGGTGTTTAAGAGCCAGAACTTTCAAGTTAAATAGAACTGGATTCAAATCCCTTCAACCACTTACTGTTTGCCCAGGGACAAATTATTGAATTTCCATGAGCCTGACTGATTTGCCTGTATTTAAAAAAAAAAAAAAAAAACATAATAGGCCTCTCTCATAAGGTCATTATGAGACTTACATGAGATAAATCATAGAAAATGTTTCACATGGTGCCAGATACCACAGCAAGCCATCAATACAGGGCAGCTGCTATTATGATTCATTTGAAACCATGAATAACATTTCTGAATAATTATTTCAAAACTAGGTTTCCTTACACAAGATTATATGCTTTTGAAAAATTCATTCATTCTACAAAATGCTACTGAGAAATGTAGAGGATGCTGTTTGGCTCCACCCGGATAGCTCTTTCTGGATCAGAAGCTCATGCTGCCAGCAGCTGCCTAGAGTTTGGCTCCTGACGGCTCACAGCTGATTCCCACTTCGGGAGTTTTGCCCTGAACTGCCTCAGCTAAGGGTAAGCCACCTACTGGGGAAGGAGAAACAAAACCAACCTTCTTGCTTCAATAAAGGTCATCCCGGGCCTCCCTGGTGGCGCAGGGGTTAAAGACACAGCACTATCAAGCTATCTGCAGCCACTGCAGCACGAGTTCGATCCCCCACCAGACAGGGAGCAACCCACATGGCACAGCAGACCTCTCCTGTCTCACCCAGTGCTCCCCTCAATAGTGTATTTCAGTAGATCTGCTTGTTCTGCCTCCCACTCTCTTTGGTGAATCCTCTCACCCCCTGCACCTCTGACCTACACCCCAGTTCTTGTATGCATAAATAAATCTTTAAAAAGAAAAGTGTCATCCCAACTCCAGAGGTCCCAAGGCAGTGGCCTAAGACCCCTGTGGAAACTTCTGCTTGCCTCACTACCTCACAGAGGTTGTTGCCAGCTCACCTCAATAAACTTGCTCACCAGTCTCCACTGCAGAGGCAGCTTCCCCAGGGAACCTGAAGTCAAGGAATCACGAAAAAGATAAGGCACTGCTATGGTGCAGGGCTAGCAAACATCATCTGCAAAGAGACAGATATTGTTTTTGGCTTTGGTGGGCTGTGTTCTGTGTTCGACTCTACCTCTGTAGTGTGAACGCAGCCACGGGCAATGCATGTGTGAGTGGGCGTGCTTGTGTTACAATGCAGCCTTATTTTATGAACAATTGGCCTTGAACATCATATAACTTCTGCATGTCACAAATTATTAAGATGGCTTTTCAGCCATTTTTTAATTTAATTTAATTTTATATATATATATATATATATTTTTACATCATTCTTCTTCTTTGTGCAATGCATGCTTTCTCCTCTCAGGCGTAGTCCCCGTAAAATTCCCACCACCAATTCACCCGTGCACCATCACCATAATCCCTTGTGTAAGAACACATTATTTTAACAGAAGAACCATTCTTAGCTCAAGGAGGTTCAAAAGGATGTAACTAGTCTATTGCAGTCTATATAAATACTGAAGCATGTCATACTCTGGAAACTCAGAAGTTATATGTCAATTACCTGTTTAAAAAAAAAAAAGCTGGAAGGCTCGATTTGGCATAATAGTTTGCCAACCTTTGAGCTAGAGGCATGGGATAGAGCAGTGAGGCTCACGTGAAACAGCCATTCTAGTGACTGAAATTACAGAATTTTATATCTTGGGACCCAAGAGCTTGTAACCTTGTTCTGAAGATACAGAAAACCCCTTCCTGGTTGCTGAAGGGTCAAGAAAACATGAAGAAAATGAAGAGAAAAAGTAAGATTGATAGTTTCTTTTGATGCTTAATACCACCCAGAAAATCATATGTGGCAAAATAGAACTAAATGGCTTAATGTCCACTATGTGGTATGATCTACTTGTCAAATTTCATCTCCACTAATAAGCACAATTAGAAGATTTGAGTGACTTCTGAATGTGCTAAAACTGTAGCTAAGTAATGGTTGAAAAATAAAAACACAATTGCAATGTATTACCACTTTAATGTATACAAAGAACATATTTTTTAATGATCTGCTGATACAAAATAGAGAAAAGAGATATTAACATATATTTTGAAAAGTGTGTGAACCTGTCTTTCTACCCAATATAGCAGCCTTCTAAGTCCATTTCCCTCAAGAAGTAATAACTTAGAGGAATTTACCTGGGTAGGAAACTCTTCACCCTAGAACCTTATGACCTGTTAGCTCTGCCATGGTGTTTTCTTACTGGGCTTGTCTTTCTCAATTTTTATACTCCCTTAAAAGAATCATACCTTTTTTTTCTTGATCCTCTTTAATTTTGCTTTGTTGCTATACACCCCTCTTTGAAGTCATTCCTTATGTTTTCTCCTCCCACATCCTTCATCATGTATAATATTGATTTCCTCCTAATTCACACCTGGCTTCCCGCCAACCTTCGCTTTTCTAGTCCTTAACTCCCCTTCAAACTCCCTCCTGCACATTCTCAGAATAAATGAATAAAGTGTTACTTTAGGCTTGAGTAGTCGAGAAAGAGGAATGCAAGCATCCTCTCTATGGATTCACATTGCTATACTGGGAAATATGGAGGCTAGGAGTGCTGATTTCCGTTGACACCAACTGTAATAGGCGGTTAATGACTATATCTCTGGCTTTTGTGGTCTCCAGGTTCTTCTCTCTAGATACTTGAAGACTAATTTGGTCCACACTTGTCATGATGAGTTCAGATGCTAGAATCTGGGTAGGAGAACTGTCATGAAACGCGGTGTCCATAATGTACTGCTTATACAACTCCACCACCTTTTGTTCCAGATACTCGTTCAGCACTGCATTAGAAATCGGCTTCTGCATTTGCAGGCTGCTTTTCTCTTTGATGCTGGTTATTCTCCAGTAGGATGAATACCGCTGGATAGGTTTTTGGGGCAAGTCACTGGGCTGAGTGAACGTGGAATCCTCCATGGGCAAAGGAATCTCAGATGATTTCAGCAAAGGGCCATACTCAAAACTGCTCTTGGAGGGGAAATCTGTTGTCACTGAATTGATGGCCATCACCTGGTCCCCTGCAATGTGTAAGTCATTGTAATTCTTGCAAATGCTTTTGCAGGAAGGTGGAACCAAGTAAGTCTCTCTGCTAGGGTCTCTACAGATTTCAATTGCAGCCACGTTTGTGCTTTCAAACACAGGATTGGGGCTTGTCTGCAACACTGTGATTCTCTGATTTCTACTCTGTTGGCTCTCACTTGAATGCACCGAAGAAATAAACTTGCCAGAGGATTTGCAGCTCACGTAGAGACTTCTGACTTGTGTTTCATCCACAGAGGAATAGGAAAGAGAAGCAGCAGATTTCGTTTCCTCTCCCTTTTCCTCAGCCACCTGCTCATGACACGATGTACAACTCCAGAGGGTGTCGTTCCAGTAGGCGAGTCCACTGAGATACCCTTCTGACAGCATTCTGGAAAGAGAGTCGGTGAGTCACATGGGGAAAGTGAAGATGGGGGTTTTCACAATTGGCAGTTGATGTATCAAACATGTAAAGGACAATAAAGGCTGCTTCATTCATTCACCAAGCCATTACTAATTCTATGCCTGCTGTGTACCAGGGCTGTGACAAATGCCAGAAATAGAAATATGACTAAGACACAGTTCCATCCTTTGGGAAGTTTCCACTAAAATAAAATAAACACAAAGAACTCCAATATCACATCACTGAGGCTTGTAATAGTGACAGGCAGAGAAGAAGCATAGGAGAGAGACCCCACTCATGGAGCGAGTCAGAGAAGGTGGCGTTTCATCTGACTTTTGAAGACTGAGGAGTTGCAGCCATAGGCACAAAATTATAATATGGTGGCGTGGTCTGTTCAGTATATACCCAGAAGTTGAGCATAAGCTGAGGCCTTGGGAGTCAGGCAAAGCATCTGTGTTCAGCCACAGAGGAAATGCAGAGTGGTTGAGGAGCTGCAAACTGGGCCAACCACATGGCTATTGGGTTTCAAGAAAAATGAGGAAATTTGTGGCAAATTGTACTGAGAATAAGAGCTGCACCTTTTCTTTGAATGTTAACCACCCTGCAGAAGCAGGGGTGAATGCATTTTGGAAGGACTCACAAGAGATTTGTTAACTTGTATTAAATACGCGACAACAGGGCATGCATGGTAAGAAGTGAACTCATGATCTACCCATCATGAAAGACCACAAAGCCTTGCCTGCCTGTGCATCCCAGATTGGCTTTCTTGCTCTGTCCGTCTCACTTCAGAGACCATTCTGGAAATGTCTCTATGGCCCACTGTCATGTTTCCTCTACCCTAGTGACCAAAGAGCTTTCCTGACTGGGCTCTCCCCACACCTGCCTCTGCTCCCACCCTCAGCAGTTGTCACTGGAGACTGAAGTGGCTAGAATCAGCTAGAAACCAGCAGCTGCATTTTCTAAAATAAGGAACACACTGGGGCAACAGAAAACAACGTGGGAAAAAAGATCCTCTTTGGCCTCCATGGCCAAACTTCTAAAACAGAACTGTCAACTTGAGCCTGAAATTGAAAATTCAAATTGGAAAAGGATGGTTTGAAGCATACATAAAGGTTTTTTTTTTTCATTTTAGCATCTCTTTGATATTCATGTCATTATCTCGCAAGTAAATTCATTTTAAATTGTATAAGGGTAATATTATAATTATAATCAATATCATTAATACAAGTGGTTTCATTGTATAAGGGGCTTAATTTCAATGTTAATTTTCTCTTTCAAAAGTATTCCAAGATACAGTTGGCAAATTATTAATTATTTAAAGGCTCATGCTATTCCAGGCACTAGACCATAATGGTAAAAAGTTAAAAGGTCTTCAAATTCGTAAAGTAATTGTTGTCTGTTGGACACATGGTGGGGGTGAAGAAAATATTCTTTCCTGAAAAGAACTTTCTAAGTGTAATTGTTCCCTCAACACACTGAATGTCTAGGTGAAAAGGCAAATTTAGGTACATGAGAGGATAATCAAGCAGAAGAGTTTATCATAAAGGTTTAAGAGCAATGCAGTTACCTCCCGCCCCACCCCCTCCACCCCATCAGGCTGTGCTGTGGGCCCTCTATCTCCATGGCCTCAGAATGTCGCTGTGGAAAACCAAAGCCTAAGCCTAGCTTTTTAGCTTTTGAGTGTCTAAATAGGTCGTGGAATCTCTTGGCAGAAATGATAGCTCCAAAGACATGACTTTGTAAAAAAGATTTATGTTTATTTATGCATAGACAAACTGGGTGTAGGCCAGAGGTGTGGAGGGTGAGAGGATTCACCAGAGACAGAGTGGGAGCAGAACAGGCAGATCTACTGAAATACACTGCTGAGGGGAGCAGCAGGAGAGACAGGAGAGTTCTGCTGCGCCATGTGGGTCAGCTCCCTGCCCAGGGAATGAACTCAGGCCACAGTGGCTGGTGATAGCTTGATAGTGCTGAGACTTTAATCCCTGTGTCACCAGGGAGGCCCAAGAAATGACTTTTGAGGTACCATAACTTGAGATTTTAAATTCCGAACTCCAGAAGGACGTAGGGTGCAATGTTTATTCATTGATAATAGACTTCCGTGGGCAGAATCCCCTATGAGTGAGACTGCATGGCTCCAGACAGGTTTGGGGAGTCAAAAATAGAAGAGGGGTAGACCGTACCTCTCAGACTCCGAAGATATAAAAAGTCTGACAAGATTCTCCCCTGCCCAACATAGGATGGGAGTAGGGGGAGAGCCAGCTGTATTGATGACCTGGGTAGACCAGCCTGAGGTGGCCTCATCAGATCATCTCACATACACCATTTCTCAGTGCCCACAAACCTGGAAAAGACCTGGACTTAGGATGGGACGATGGCAGACATGATCTCCACAGAGTGTTGTTTTTGTTTGTTTGTTTTTTTAAGATTTATTTATTTATACAAGCACTGGGTACAGTCAGAAGCGTGGGAGGATGAGAGGATTCACTAGAGCCAGAGCGGGGAACAGAACAGGCAGACTGACGAAACGCAATGCTGAGGGGAGCAGCGGGCGGCAGGAGAGGTCTGCGCACCATATGGGACCCTCACTGGCATCCGGGGATCGAACTGGCACTGCAGAGGCTGCGGGCAGCTTCGCAGCCCAGTGCTCAATTGCCGCGTCACTGGGGAGGCCCTCCACAGAGTGTTAACCAGGGGTGAGGTGAATGATAAGTTACCATAGATGTCAGAGCAGTGTGACTCCGTGATGACACCAAAGAGTCCCCCCACCTTCACATCTCCAGCTGACCTGTGCTCTGTAGAAGCAAGCTGGAACTGAGAGCAAACCCAAGGAGGAAGGAGCCCTGACATGAATGAGGAAATCCTGCTTGACAGTCATGACTCAGCAGCTTGTGCCCTAAAGAGGTAGATCAAATTGAGGTAGAGGAAAGCAAAGATTTCTGGGAAGACTAAGTGTATGCAGCTATTTTTTTTCTTCCCCAAACATCACTAGAACAAAAGCAAATGATTTTTAAAAGATATCATCTATGAGAAAAAGGAGAACAGAAGAGATGAGAGAAATAACATTTTAGAAGTTGGAAAGCAGGAAGGCCAAGGTTAATGACCTAGACCTGAGAAAGCCAATCTTGCAAGAGCCATAGGAAAATCCAAGCACCAGGCTGATTTAAATTTCCCCAAAGGAACAGGAATTGGTGGTACCACAGACCCTTTGTATCTGTAATCAGATTGATTGAAAGTTTATTTAAAAAGCCATCAGAAAACCAGGTCATCTCCCTCATGCCTGCAGCCAGCAACCATCTCCCATTTTCAACCCCAAAAGAAAAAAAAAGCCTCTGAAGAATAAAACGTAGGAACTCTGGAGGGGAGAATTACTAACAGATAAATATATTCATCTCAGATGCTGAGAGCTATGGCCTTGAGCTTCAGTCATCTCCGAGACGGCATCCTCCTGCCAGGCATGATAATGGGAAGACCATCCTGGGGAACCTGACGAATCTGAGAAGAACTATTGGCACCAGAGGTTCCCCAAGTAAATGTGGCAATGAGATCACCCCCCCATTCAAGCTCCTAATCAGTGGAATCCATTGAGGTTCTTGGATCCCCATCTAGAAATGGGTAGAATTTGAAGCATCTGAGGAAATCTCTGAATGAGAGAGACCCAAACAGCCACTTAGAGAAAATGAACTGGTGTGTGTGAGGGTGAGGAGGTGGACTACTGTCAATATTTTCAATAAGATAGGTATACTATTATGGTTTTTAATTACAATACAATGCCATTTTTAAAAGGCATTCTGAAGCTCTTAGAAGTTAAAGTGATCGAGAATTTTAAAACTCAGTAAAATTATTGGAAGACAAAGTTGAAGTAAGTTCCCAGTAGGAAAGTAGAACAAAAACACAAGATGGAGAACGGAGAAAAGATAAAATTAGAGAAGCAGCCCAGGACATCCATTATCTGAATAATAGGTGGTTCAGAAAGAGAACCGAGAGACTAAGGGAGGAATTTAAGTTCAGAATTCAAGAATATTTCCCAGAACTGAAAGACATGAGGTACCAAGATACAGGGTAAAAATAGACATATACCTCCTCTTATTATTGTAAAATGGTAGAACACTTGGTACAAAGAGAAAATTCTATAAGTCTCCAGAGGGAAAAGAGGAAAAAAAAAAAAGATCCAGAACCAGAATCTTCAGAATTTTCAAAAGCAACATGTAAAGCAAGAAAACCATGAAACAATATCTAAAATGTTTCTAATGTAGCAAACTATTTTCAACCTAGAATTTAAGAACAAGGTTATCAACCTGGTTATTAAACCAGACCTATGAGGACAGAACAGAGATATTTTGAGGTCACAAATCTCTAGTAACTCATCTCCCAGACACTTTTCTTGGGACGTCAGTGGAAGATGCACTCCACTGAAAGGAGTGACGAAATCACTCAGAAGAAGAAAGGCGAGAGGGGCCTCCCCTGGTGGCGCAGCAGCTGAGCGCTGCGCTGCCAGGCTGTCCGCAGCCTCTGTAGCACCGGTTCGTTCCCCGGCCGCCAGCGAGGGTCCCACAAAAAAAAAAAGAAGAAAGGCGAGAGCAGAAACAGCAAAGACAGAACAGGAGAGAGTCAGAGAGACACTGGCATAACCTGAGCCTCTGTTCCAAGCCCTGTAAAGCACCCCACTCTGGCCCTGCTCCAGTTGTGCCCCTCCCAACAGGTGGGGGAGCCCACCTAGCCTCAACACTGCCACTTTCTGGAGCACTTCCTGGTGCTCAGGATCTCAGAATTCCCTGCTAATATGACCCCGACCCTAAAGGCTCCTCTACAAATCCATCATGGCCAGGCCCACTAAGTGACGGAGGGGTGGGTTTTGCTGGGTCTGTGGACAGAAATTAGATGTAGGGGTTGAGGGTGAGAGGTAGCCAGGACTAGGAAAAAAAGATAGAAGACTTCATGCTGAGGCTTCTCATATTTTGCCCTAAGATCAGAGTCCTCCCCAAGATCACAGTGAAAGGACA